TATAAGTTGCATCAACGATTTAACAGACTTTAATTGCAGTGTTCTTAATCTTTATAAGTTAGTAGTACTGTTCGGGTTTACAGTGTGGGGGCGTGTTAGAACGAGCCGTTTTAGGGGGGTGTGGCTGACTCTTAACTTTTATAAAGAATATCTCTTTGGATTTGAGACTTTAGTCTTTGCAACTTTACAGATCTTCTTTATGCACCAAGAGCTTGTAACACTCCAAAGAGAAAGGAAAACTTGAAATCGCATCATATGACCCCTTTAAAAAGTGTTCTGTTTCAAAATGTAAAAAATGTCCGGAAAATAACCATAATAGAATTTGGGGGAAAAAAAAAAAACATTATGCAGATTGGATTATCATGTGTCATATATCCTTTGAAAAGTCACACCAAACAGAAAACATCAAGCATATTTGTTGTGCAAACTAAAGCAAGTATGAATATATTGTTCTTGATAGATTACTGGATGGAATAATGGCATATCCAGATTGTTCTTTCTCAAGTTGAGATTTGCTGTTTTTCTTGTCTTGATCGTCAGGTGCTCCTCTGAAGCCCAGAAAGGAGCTGGTCTTTGAGGAGCTGGAGTCTGGAGTGTTGAAAGTGTGCTGGTCCTCCAAGTTCAATGTGTCAGCGGAGCCGGTGCTGAATGTTCTGCAGAGGAGGTGGAACTACGGCATCCACCCCAGTGAGGATGGAGCAACTGAGTGGCAAGTGGTGGCTAGAGTAAGTGTGTGCTTGTGTGTGTTACATGGTCTTCAATAAAGGTCTCTACGGGACGGGGTCCACAGCCATACTGCAGGAGATTAGAAAATTATGGACTGATCTCAAGCACATTTTTGTGAAAAATGAAAATTTGCATTATCATCATTACAATGTATGTAAATACATTAATATGGTATAGGCCAAACGTAAAATTAAATTCTTAACTTCCATTGTGATACTTGAACTATTATACATTCAGTACTGTAGTCATTTTTTTTTATTTCCTTCAGTCATTTATATGCTCCCTCCTATACTCATTCATCTGTGTTTCTGTACTGTAGACATCAGAAGAGCGTGTGTGGCTGACGGACATTCGGCCCGGTCGCTGGTACCAGTTCAGAGTGGCAGCAGTCAATGTTCATGGAACCAGAGGATACACCACACCCAGCAGACACTTCAGATCCTCTAAAGGTGAGATCAAGAAACTGTAATCTAATGGGATTCTATACCATTTTATAATACTAATAATAATTTAAATAACATATGTTATCCTTTCACATGTTATTTAGATTTGACATTATTTTCTGAAATGTCTGAACTTTAACCTTTTGCTAAATTTCACCCTCTCTCAGATCCTGCCCCTCCCTCGGCACCATCTGAACTTCATGTCAGTGACATGACCTTTGGTGCAGATCGCTCTGTGTCTGTTCGCCTCAGCTGGAGCATGTCTGCAGATTTAGACATCCCTGTTAACTACTACAAACTCTCCTGGAGCTGTTCTGACCATACTATACCATCCAAACTCAAGAGGAGACAGATTACAAATGGGGTAATTCATATAATCTACCCACACACTCCCTCTCTACCCATTTGCTTTTTCTGTCAGCCTTTAATGCTTTCATTTTCTCATATATTGGATTGTTCCCAAAACCCCTCATGGGTAAACTCCCCTGCCCCTTCTTTCAGCAAGCCACAACAAATTAGAAATCTTAGTGCAAATAAGTGCAAGATAAACATCTCAGGATTGGGCCTTTGATCACACCAAGCCCTATTTTCAAGGGCTTCAGACACCAAATTAGGGTGGTACAGCATTGCATCACCACTCTTGGCAAATGCAAGCATTTCTGGGCGCCATTTGATATACAGCCAAAAACAGCATATCGATTCTAGTTGTGCTTGAGAAAAGGAAATCTCTCAGTAAGAGCTGAATTGTTTTTCTTTCAATGAGATCATGTTGAAGAGTTTATTTTTTCCTCCTTTAGATAATCCACAAGAGATGGCAGTTGCTTCATTTTTGTATGTTAAATTATTGAGGGCTCTGTCATTGAGAGGCATGGAAATTTCCTCAGAAAATGACATTTTTTTAAATAGCTGCTGAGTGAATGCGGAGGAATGTAAACCACGTTGCTTTTACTGTTTGGCTCTGCAAGATGACAGGAAAAACAAATATGCTGCAAATTGATTTTAAACAGATTACTCTAGTGCACAATGATTATACGATTACAACACAATCTGCAAAAATTCTGATAACTTTACAGTTCTTTTGTTGGCTTACTCTTTTGCTGTGATATATATGATTAACAGTAGTAGTAATATTAAAATGTAACTCAGCTACTGTATTAGATCCCATTTTACTGAATTAAAGCAGCAGAGTCTAATCTGGCCTGTGGGATGATTTTGGAGAAAAATGGTGAAAACCAATAAAAAGTCTCAAATTTTTTTTTATTTGTGTGATACATTTTTAGAATATTTTTATTATCTAAACAGTTATACACTAACATTAAAGTATATTTGGGGTCGGCACATTTCTTAATGTTTTTGAAAGAAGATAATTATTGTTTCCACTGAATAATTATTACATAAATATGATACATTAATGCTAATTTGATGCTTTTCAGACTAAGCAGCAGGCCCATTAATTAAGCAAATTAAAAGTTTTTTTTTTTTTTTTTTAGGAAAGGTTCACTTAAAAGTTCTTTGGGTTCTTATATGGAATCACTGCAAACATCCCTTTTGGAACCTTTATTTTTAAGCAGTTTTCTTTTATTTGGCCTAACTTTGTGTTAATGGTCAGTTTTACTTTTAGATGGTGTATTAAAGCTTCTTAAGTTATCCAGGCAGACTGATAAGCGATAAGTGGTTTTCGCTTTTTCTTGTCAGTATTTTTATTGAATCAATATTCCCTAGTTACTCATTTCATGTGCAAATGTAGTCCAAAGGTCTCTGGTGACTAAAATCAGTAAATTGCTCCCAATAGTGGCCATTAAAGCAGCTAAAATTGATTCTGGATCTGCTCCAGAAGAGCATGTTCTTTGCATGCTCTTTTTATGATTAGACTTCACCAAGGATTAACAAATAAAATATTTTTTGCATGCATAAGGTGCAGTTTTTTTATGGCCCTCCAACTAAAATGAGATTACTGGGTAGTTAAAAATTCTACACTTGTTTACCTTCCATTTCCATTTGTTCTCTCTATTTTTTTTGGGGATTTGGATTGCCGTGACTATTCTAATCCTTGCCTGTGGGCTTGTGTGTGTGTGTGTGTGTGTGTGTGTGTGCAGGACTCTACCTATGCTGAGCTGGATGACTTGAGAGAGAACAGGAGTTACACTGTGGAGTTGCATGCGGTTTCATACTGGGGTCAGGTCCCTCTCAAGAGCTCCAAGGCCATTCTTCAGTTTACTACAAGCCAAAGACAATCTGGTACAAAACTATTTAATTGCTATACATTTTTTTTGCTTGATACATAACAGCACTCATTTGGGTGTTGTGAAATACAGTGAAAAACAGCTGAAAATGTTTTCCATTTGTAACGTTATACTTTTTCCCCATATTTGATGTCATTCAGATTTGGAAAGCACAGTCAGCCCGGTCTTTATAAAACCCCAGTCAGATCTATTAGACGTGGGCACTCCGTTCTATCAAGATGGTCAGCTTCAGGTCCGGGTCTACTGGAAAAAGAAAGGTATGACAGTTACAATAGACCAAGTCTTTCATCTAGAAAACTGTCCTGTTACTGTTTTCCTTCCTTAGAGCTGCTTTGTAATTATGTAAACATAGTGCTTATTAAAGAGCTAAGAATCAGAATTATACGTAATTAGATGAAGAACAATAGCTCTTTGTGTGTGAAGTGATAAGAACCACTCTTGAAAAAAGTGTGGAGCTGTTTGTGTGCTAACATGAGCGGATGAGGCATGTCTCAGCCTAACTTTGCATGCAGCAAATTACATTTAAACAGTTTCATTCTGTCAGTGAGTGATGAGATAATCCTCCATTAAACTCGCAAATGAAAACTGTCATAGAAGTGACAACATTTTAGTCATACTAAGCAATGCAAAATGGTGCTTGAAATCTTCTTATTGACCTCTGTTTTGAATTTCAGTAAGACTTAAGTGTCATACTGGCCACATGTCAAATCCCTTAATCTCTCTAATGGATGTCCAGCAGATTTTATCTCATACTGATCTGTCAGGCACATTATCAAGTTTGCTTTGCTTTGCATATTTTGCTTTGTTTTGCATATTCTCTGGATGAATAAAAAGCATTGATTTCTACAGGGCGTATTACTGAGCAGTGATTACTTGTAAGGTCTAAATGGATCATCACTGAGGATTATCATTAACTGTTTGTTGACTGACGAAGATTTAAAAAAAGGTTTAATAATATAATGAAAGGCTTATCCAAGTTTTTAAATATTTATCAAAAAGATTCAGATGTGTTGAAAGGGAGAGTTGATCCAAAAATGGACATTCTGTCATCATTTACTCACCCTCATGTTGTTCCAAACCAAGACTTTCTTTCTTCTGTGGTTCACAAAAGAAGATATTTTGAAGATTTTTTTCGCCGTTTCTGCTCATACATTGAAAGCCAGTGGGGTCCTAAATATCACTTGATACTTTCATTGTATGGGAAAAAAAATACATTGTTAAACATTTTCTTTGGTGTTCCAAAAAAGAAAGAAATGCAACCAGTTTTGGATGTCATGAGTGTAAGTGATGACAGAATTGACATTTTTGGGTAAATTTGTAGTAGTTAATATTAAATAACTAAAGTATCAGATAAAATTTGGCAAGCCCATACAAAGTTTTTGCCAGCACATACAGTTGAAATAGTTTCAAACAAAAGCAAAGCATCAGTTTGCATGTTATCAAGCAACACACGGACAGGAAGTTGGTCTGGAACAGCATATGTGAGTGGAGTGGAACAAAAGAAACTTCCTGTCCCCTTACTCAGAGCCCTTCATAATCACATTCAGAATCTGGCATTTCATATTTTGCCATCTCTCCTTTTCAGATCCCACCGTGAATCGTTACCGTGTGCAGTGGTCTCCGGAATTCTGCAGTCACAATGGATCCAGAACACAGGAGAAGCTCATCACCCAGGTAACCAGTCAGGAATGTGTCTTCTGTCCTCCCTACAGGTGCGAGGCCACATTCTGACAGCTCATACATAAGATGAATTTCCAGGGAGAGTGTTCGTGTGGTGTTCATTGATCATTCATGCTGCATAACTCACCATTTGGAGGCACATCCCAATTCCAGAAAGATTTCTTTAACAAATTGCAGAGAAATATGAGACAAAACATTCTTTTAGACATCCGTAGGTTTAGATTTTCATCAGTGTAATTATGCAATTTACAATGTGAGAGATTGTGTTAAAATCTTTGACAATGAAAAAGGGGAGAATATCTTTATCAGCATGAAAATAAATCTTTCTTGACATATGCAAAACATGAACTATAGATTTCCCCATTGTGGCCCACAGCTATGCTGGATGTGGTGATAGGTGATCAGTCATCATATTTCTACTTGAATTCTTCTCAGTGGAGTTGGAATAAATTCTCACTTTTGCTTTCTTCTCATGTCACTGAGCAGGAGAATTTCGCCAGCCTTCCTGGCCTTCAGTTCTCTTGCAAGTATAAAGTGATCATCCAGCCTGTAGGATCAAAGGGTAGAGCCCAGGCAGAAAGCACGACCTTCTACACCCCGTCCTGTGCTACTATCCAGAGCAAGAGTCCCAAACCCATCCCCTGCTCCACAGTCTCAGGTAATTCTGAGATTTAATTTCTGAGAACAAGATGAATGTATTGCTGCAATTCATTAGTGTAATCTACAAAACTGCTTTGGTTATGAGGTATGTTGGATCAAATGGGTGGGTCAATGAAGCCAAATTTCTCTATCTTCTTGCAAATGTACTCTTTGTAATCATGAAGGATTCATGGTTTTGAAAAAAAAAACATACATTACATATTTCCTTATACCTTGAATATTTTAGTGTACACACAATTATTATTCTTTTTTTTAATATAGTGTTAAATAAATTTTTTCAAGGTAATTTTTTCATTAATAATTGTGTCTGCATGTTTCTGCATGTTGGGTGGATCACTTAAATTTTGTTGCCATTTTGTAAAAAAACTAAACAAAAACAAAAAAAACATACATTACATATTTCCTTATACCTTGAATATTTGAGTGTATACACTTAAAAAAAAAAAAATGGTGTAAAATTTACTTTTCAAAGTAATTTATTATAAGACTGACAGACTGCAACGGTTTGACTTAAAAATCTTGGTTTGTGTTCTACTGAAGAAATGAAGTCACCTACATCTTGGATGCCCTGGGGGTAAGCAGATAAACATCACATTTTCATTTTAGGGTGAACAATCCCATTTAATTATTGTGCTTCATGTTTCTGCATGTTGGGTGGATCATTTAAATGTTGTTGCCATTTTTGTAAAAAAAAAAATAAAACAAACTAGAAATAATAATAATAATAATAATAATAATATTTCTTAATAAAATAGATTATGCTAAACTTTCTTCTCAAGAAATTAACTATAATTCAACTCAACTCAATTCAAGTTTTCATTTTGACATCAGGGCAGTTGTGTCATTGTAACATTTGACTTTTAAATTTGAAATTTAAAAATGAATTTTAATGCAGAAAAAAAAAAGTCAAATATCACAATGTTTTTTTTGGAGTGTTATGCACTTAAGCCCTATATCTATTACTAGTATATGGTTTCATGTGTCTTATATGAATCTTAATGTTCTCTCAATCAGCAGTTGTTCCTCCAAAGGTCCTGGTCAAGGCAGAGAACCTGACGGCAGCGTTCTCGGTCTACATGGAGAACGTGACAGGCCTGTTCTCATGGGTGGTGGCCATGCCTCAACCGCCACAGCAGGTCACAGGATATCAGGTCACATGGGCAGAGGTCATCACAGAGAGCCGCAGAAATAATTTGCCCAACAGCCTCATATCCCAGTCTCAAATCCTGCCTCCAGTAAGTCACGTTGATAACGATTGCTGGTCACGAGCATACAGTATGTTGTGTTTTGCACACTGTTCACCAGCATTGGATATGTTTTCGTTTTGGGCACTAGTGTGCTGGCCCAGCAGCAAGACCACCAAACCGACATACTGTAGAATTCATACAGTTCTGAGTTGAATTCTCACCATTCTAAACTCAGTTCACGCTGTTCTATTTTAGCTGTTTAGCTTTTCCCATAAATTTTTCTTAGAAACTACTAAATTTGATAACTAATAAATGTATTGTATTCATTGTATTAATATCGAAAGTTCTTCTACAGTGTCGCTGTTTTTTTTCTGAAGTTCTTCTACAATGTAGACTACCGTTCAAAAACATTTTTTTAAATACATTAATTATTTTATTCAGTAAGGTTGCATTAATTGATCAAAAGTTACAATAAATACATTCATAATGTTAAAAAAAGATTTTTTGGGACTTTCTATCCATCAAAGAAGCCTGAAAATGTATAAAATATTGTATATAAAAAATTTGAAGCATCACAATATATTTTCAATATTGATAGTAATAAATTTTTTTCTTGAGCAGCAAATCAGCATATTAGAGTGATTTCTGAAGGATCATGAGACACTGAGGACTGGAGTAATGATGCTGAAAATTCAAGTTTGCCATCACAGGAATAAATTACATTTTAAAATGTATTCAAATGCAAAAGAGTTATTTTGAATTGTAATAATATTTCACAATATTACTGTTTTTACTGTATTTTTTGATCAAATAAATACAGCCATGGTGAGCATAAGAGAACATGAAAAAATCTTTCGATCCCAAACTTTTGAACAATAGTGTATTTGTATTTTAATTCTTTCTCAGACTCAAATTTGAATGAACTAAAATATCTTCTCTTTCTTCACAAATAGGAGCGTAATATCTTGGTAGTTTCTGGTCTTCAGTTGGCATCTCTCTACAGACTTGAGGTGCAGGTGATCACAACAGGAGGGCAAGGCCCAGCAACCTCCAGAACCTTCCAGACCCCAGCTCACAGCAAGCCAGTCCTGCATTACAGTAAGTTATTGAAACTCACAAGATGACATATGCGTACCTCCACAGCACATACTATTTTGAAATAGCATCACCACTCTTACTTATTTTACAATTTATCATTTAACATCTTTTGTGGACACTGACCTCTCCAGTGCAAAGCCCAATACTTAAATCTTAATAAGGGAGAGCTGAAAAGACATTTAAGTTCATCTGAAGGAAAAGGTCAGGGGGTGTATGAGAGGTCAAATGTCGTGTGCAATTGGCCCCAGCTCTTGATGTGCAGGTCAACCAATAAATCATGTAATTGAGATGAATTGCTTTTCCTCTCTTGACTCTAGTGTATATTTAACTTCGCAGAACCCAGGATGAAGAAACACCATCTAAGGTCGGTGATAGAACGGCACTGAAGACCACACTGCAATGAATCATCCTGGACCAGAACTGACTCCTCAGGAACCAGACGAACCAAAGAACAGTTAATTGCGAATCGCGTTTCAGCCTGAGCCAGTCAGCTGCCTCATGACTCAACATGAGGACCTGCTGTAATCTGAAGATCAAATTTTGGTTGACGTTACGATATTTAAAGCCCCAGTAATTTCCTGTGGGGGATCAGCTGCCACAAACTAATTAGAATTGAGTATGCAACAAAGACTAGGGCATCAAAAGCAAAAGCCATAGGATAAAAACAAAACAAGTGCAAATACAAAAACAAAGAAAAAAAAAGGATTTGAAACTGTAACTTTGTGGTTGTATGCCTAAAAGAAATGCTTTGAATTGCACACTCCCTTAAAAAATGGTTACCCACACCCTAAGCACTGCAAATGGAGCCTCTTTAATACAATATAGCATGTAATGACTAATTTGGTTTGACTTGTAAATAAGCCTGACTCAATACAACTGTTTGTGGTTTTGCATGTGTTCGTTAAGCATGGAATTTTACTGTTTGTATCGCCAATGTGTCAATAGCAACAACTGAGGAATCAATGAAAAAAATATTGCAGCTCTTTAAAACTAAAATGTCATTTAAGTTTATGAGGGTTTTGTGTGGTGTGTGCTCAATATGCTGTAGAGATATGTTTTGCAGTCATGTAATTCCTGTATATACTGTATGTTTTTTATTTATTTATGCAATACAAATGTTGTTATGTGGATTTGTAACTGTGTGAATGCATGAATGTGTGTGTATGTGTGTGTGTGCCTGTTCCCCCAGCATCATTCACAAACTGACAAACCCTTGCAAGGAGATTTTGTATAAATATATTTGTAAATTCCCATAGATAATGAATATTAATGTACATATTTTATATGAATAAAACTGTTAAACCTTGTTTCCCTTTACCAAGCTGGTTGTGTATTTTGTAATTACAAGGGTGAATATAATAAAATGGGAGTGAACAGTGCGTTATATAAATTTATCATGCCACTTAAGCAATATTCACTCAAACCGTATATTTAAAATACACAAATTCTCTAATAATATACATATAAACGCTACCAGAGTGAATATGAAATGTAAATAACCTGTTTACCTAAATCTATCATGTGACACAAAGCAATATTCAATTGTATATATGTAAAATAAAATCTATCCATGTCACATGTATGTGGCTAGTATACACAAGCACAAGAGGACAGGGATAAATCCATACAGGCTTTAATAAATCCAAAAAGATATCCAAACTAAGAGTAGCATCCACAGCTCAGGCTTGACATCAACAATAGCCGACAGTGAAAGACAGCATGAACTTAAATAGAGGCAGTAATGAGACATGCACAGCTGAACAAAATCAGTATGGCA